GCAGGGCAGCTCCCACGCCCCGAACCGAACTCGCCCCGTTTCCAACCCTAGAAACATCTTAGTTTTCATTGATGTCTGCTCTCTGAACCAACAAAGAAAAAACTGAAGAATATTTGAAAGAAAATACTACAGGAAAAAAAAAAAGAAAGAGAAAATAGTTAAATGTGGAAGAAATATCATTAGTTGCACTGCATCAATTGAACATCATAATATTTTATAAGCTTTATGCACGTCGTAATTTTAGTCTTCACATCCCATTACTTAAATATTGGGCAAATTTCTTTGAAGTAAAAGTGAATTAGAAGTCTTGACAATTTAAAAGATTCATGAACTTTGTCTCCGCCGTCTGTTAGATGACTTTCATGTGTAAGAATGAAATTGAGTGTGAGCATGGATTGAGTTACAAACCTATAATGCTTATCTCTGTTCATATGCTTGCTCAACTTTGGGGTTTCTCAGTAAGGAAGTTCAATAGATGAAAATAATAGTTCCTACGCAACTTGCATCAAAACAAATGTATTATCTTTGATACTTACCGTTACTAATATTATGCAGGTAAGCAAAGTGAGATCTAATCTTAATCAGATTGGGTATGACATTAATATAATCCATGAGATGGTATCCGGCTTGGTAAGCTATCAAAGTGCTTTAAATTCAATTGATTTGGTGAATAGTATTGCCATATGAGTTATTTATGGATATCACGTTATTGCTGATTAATTCCAGGAAGGAAAAATTGAGCTTCTTGAAAGCAAGCAGGTAAAGATTTGATTTTTTGCAATATACGATCTTTTCTTCACTTGATATATTGAAAGTATCTGCAACTGTTGATTAATGATCTGCAGGATAAGACTAACTCGGGTTTGTATTATCTCTGCCAAGTAGCCGAAAATATTAAAGGTGGATCGAATGATAAAAAAATAAAGGTCAGAAATGCTTTTATAATCTTTCATTATTTGTTATTTCTCTAACTTATATCATTCACCTTTGCAAACTGCTATCGAAGCAGTACAATAGTTTTGCTACATCGAGTCATATTATTCAGATATTGCTTGGCCATTCCCTCTATGCATCGTACAGTGAATAATTTTACAATATACAAAATAAAAATCTCCCCTCAGAAGTGAGAGGATTTGACTGAGGATTGTCCTATACAGAATAGGGATTAAATTTTTACCAACTCACGTAGAATACGATTTAACTTTCCTACTTTTAACAGGATTAGCATGATTCCCACATTGAATAGAAATCAAAAGAATCTCCTTTTCCCAAATACATAGAGGCTTTCCCTTGTGTTTTATTCATCTCAATTCAGAAGGTAGTGATGGAATGAATATCTTTGGGGTGAAACTTGGGGATCCTTTGTAGTCTCGCCTTTTTGCCTGTACGTACTATGAGAGGGTTTTAGTGGTATGTTAGCTCTTGGTGTTCTTGGGGTCTGGGGTGTGAGATATTTGTGTGGTTAAACTACTTTTCACATGGATAAATCTGTCTTTCGAGGCCTGTAGTTTTTCATGTATCTTGTGTTCTTTTTATTGTTCATATTCTATGTTTTTCTTTATATTTTGTCGGAAAAGGAGGATCCGGGGGCTGAATCTGGAAATTAGCCCAGATTCCCCAATAAGAAGGGTGCGGGAGATATGTTATAATCCTTAAATAGAAGGAATTGATTCCAACCTTGGTCTTGATTCTAATAGAAAGTTTGCTGAAGATAGGCTAGAGGGCTGCTTAAAGTTTGTCTGAAAACATTAGTTTGATTACATTAGCAAATCTCAGGATAGTGTAGAGCAACCATATATTCTGGAATATCACCCAGTGTTGGTAGAAATCTGGTACTTTATTCGTTATTGACGGACCAACTTAGATATGTGCATCCTGTTAATGCCCATGTCAAGCCTTGTGGTTTTGGACTCTATAATCCTAGTGTTGAACCTACTTTGAGAATGTTTGGCTGGTTTTACCTTGATTAAAAGTTCTGGGTTTACCTTGATTAAAAGTTCTGGGTTGACTTTGTGAGTCTTTCCTCGAAGCATATTTATATTTTCCCGTTCCCATTAATTACAAAGACAAATGCCTTTTTTCCCACTTTGAAAGCAGGATGTCGACACTAAGCTACTAGAACAATCAAGAGTTTTGCGGATTGAAGACAGAACAAAGGTAAGCTGTGTCGAACATGCTTTGAGTAGTCTATATTTTGCAGTTTCCCCTGCTGACAACGTGCTATAACTTTCCAGGGGCTTCAGTTCATTGTCGGAAATGATGAATCAAATAAGATGCAGAAAACACCGGTAAAGATGGATGACCAGAAACTTGCTGATGTTCCTGCCAAGAATGTTTCTAATCCAAAAATGAGAATTCATCGATCATATCCGGTTGGGCTGTCTTTTGCTGCGGATGTCTATGGATTGGCTTCATAATTTCACAATGCTATTCTATCAAAGAGATTAGACCCAAATATTATTGCAGTCCGATTACTCGAGCGTGGAAATTTGCAAAATAAGGATTGTTGGAGCTTTACAAGGACCTGTCGAAAATCCTTGTGCTCAATTTTTTGAATGTAATATGTATAAATTGTATTCATCAAGACCTTCATATGAATTAAGAAAGGTTATATTGTGTTATTATTTCTTATAATAGCAAGATTGACACATTTTGTGAAGTTCTCAGCCATTGTTGGGATGTAAAAATGAGAGCTACTACATTGCCAGGGAACAAGACTGTAAAAATACGTCCGTACGAAATTTAGAGAACAAGATAAAAGAATAAGAGAAATGAGAGGGTTCAAATTGAAATGTATTTC